TGTGCTTCTCACTCTGAGAAGCACAGAGCCGAAGACACAAGCCTGAAGATGATGAATGAGACTTCATTGAAACGTTGCCTAGGTACTTCCAATCCTACGCGGGAGAAAACCCGAATAACCAAAGTTCCATACACACACACACACACACACACACACACATATATATACATACATACATGCATATCGGTAGATAGATACCATCTTTTGAAAGCAGGCAACGAAATTTCATTTTTAATGTGTGCCAATGTGCCCACAGTAAAAAAATGTCAATAAAGGTTATCTTGTCTAGTCATATGGGTGCCGTTATCATTATGACTTAAAATGGAAAGTCTGGGCTCTGTTATGGTAATAAGTCAAGGACTACCTGTATAAGAAAATGAGAACATGCTATTTTCCTGATTGTTGTAATATATAGAGAGCAGCAGCTAACCAATAGGAACAGATGGTAAAGAGGGAATTGTATTCTCTCTCACTCTATCAACCAAAGGCAACTCTTCAAAATGCAGGGAAGGAGGGCTAACATACAGAATCTTTACTGTGCGCATAGTAACAATGGTCTTCTCAATTCAGTCTCTGTTTTTATCTCCCCTTGCCATTTCTGGCATGCCATCAAGGTTGGGTTTAGTTTCTCATACGGATCTGCTCGTGAAGAACTCATTGCTATTGCCTCCGAACCATCTATGGACTATGTTTTCTCCGTGAGCAATTTTGATGCTCTCAAGGACATCCAGAACAATCTTCAGAATAAAATTTTTGCCATAGAAGGTATCACATCTGATGTTTTGCCTAGAAATAATGCTAGGATCTGGGGCTCAAACTGGCAGTCAGAACTCAGTATCCTAGGTAATTGATGGATTGTCTCCCTAGTAGTGAGAGAGACATGATATGACTGTTAGATTCTGTATCCAGCTGCCATGAGGGTCATTCAGGACTGACTTTTGTGACTAACTTTCAGCAGTAGAGGTGCTCCTCAATTTATGACCAGTCACTTAACAATCATTCAAAGTTACAAAGAAAAAATTACTTAACGGCCAGTCCTCAAAGTCATGACTGCACAATCACGTGATCATCATTTACAATCTTCTCTGACAACTTCCCCAGAAAGTCATTGGGGAAGCCAACGGGAAAACTTGCAGGATGCTGCCACTCACCAAAGGATTTCTTCTTGCCTTAGTGCATGGCCAGAAGATTCCTATGATGGGCTGGAGAAACAAAGCTAAGACCCCAGCTTTGTTTGTCTGACCCAATGCTGGTGTTCCCTTCTGCACATGAAGGGGTGGAGAACTCCTATGGTGTGATAGTGAAATGAAGCCGGGATCATTTATCTAGCCAACCATGGGAGTTCCCTTATGCATATAGATGGGGGCTGCCATCCTTTCAGTCTTTCAGTCCCTCAACTTAACAGTCCATGCAGTCACTTAACAATTGCAAATGAGAACACCAGCATTGCAGTCATTGAGCAAAGTGGTCATATGGGCATCTCATTTGTTGACCCCCAATGCAACTAAAATTCCAGCCTCGTTTGTGGTCATAAGTTGAGGAGTACCAGGACAGGGAGGAGCATAGGTCTATTGATAGGTAGGAACATAGACCTGTCTGTCTGTCTATCTGTCCGTCCGTCCATCCATCCATCCATCTACCCACCCATCTCTAGCATCCATCTACCTATCCAACTCTGTTATTCTATTCCTATTCCTATTCCATTCCATTCTATTCCATTCATCAATATATCTATCCATCCACCTATTCTTTACTTTGTCAGTTGGAAATGTGACCTATATCCAGATTTATCTATATTTTGAATAAACCTCCATCAAAATCAATGGAACAGAACTAAGTTGGCAGACTATCCATCTGCTTGGCTTGCCATTGCTCCAACAGCATTACCTTCCCAAAGCCATTATATTGCACCAAGAGACTTGCTTGATGTTTCTTTCATTTCTTTCATGCCCTCTTCTGCTCCATTGGAACCTCTCCTATCCCAGCATGGTTCACCCTCTGATCCAGTAAAGCATCCCAGGGCCTAAACTTTGTCTGCCTTTCCAATTTCCTTCTGCAGGTACTCAGTCCCAGAACACTGGCAACATCTCTCAGTCCTTCGAGTTAGAGTTGTCTCAGGAAGGATTCAGTGCCTTACACACCCAGGTTAGTCTCCTTCATCTCAGGTTCTCCCATGCAAATTAGATGTCAATAAGTAGCAGGTCAGACTTAGATAGAAACATAAAATAGAGAGGAAAACAATTCAGAATTAAAGGCCTGTGGAAATGGAGATTAGTGGGCTTCCTTGGACAAATCATTGGTAGAGGCCTTAATCTTTGTGGACTTCAATGTCTGGAAGGAAAGTGTTCAGAATTAGACTTCTTGGGGTTCCTGATTTTCACAAAGGTACCTTGCTTTAGCTAATTAAGAGTAAGGGGTTTTTTGAATGTTTGATTTGTCCCAGATATGGATATTACAGGTGGGCTGTAGAAAAGAAAAATTGAAATGTCTTAGTATTCTACGAAAGGAGGAAGACTTTCTGAAGGATTGATTTTCTTTCAGTTGATTAACATCTCTGCTTTGCTGTTTCTTTTTAGAGTGGCTCCATACTAGGGGCTGTTGGAGCCTATGATTGGGCTGGAGGACTCTTCCTTTTCAACAGCCAGGGTGATGCGGCTTTTATTAATACCTCCAGCTCCACAGATGATTTGAAATCTGCTTATCTTGGTAAGAGCCACATGCAAACAATCGCTCTAGATCCATTCTGGGTGGAAAGGCTGGGCAGACTGCAAAATTTATTTATTCATATATTTGCATCCCACCTTTAATATTTTTTAATAAATAACTTAAGCTGGCAAACCTCTGCAAAAATGGTGTCTCCAATATATTTTTAAAAGGAGAACTTGAGTAGCTGATCATAGGAGTGTGGAAGCAAGTGTGCACTGTGTTCATGGCCAACTTGACCCTCTTGCCATATAGTAATGAGAAGAGTACAATTTAATCAATGAAGGGTCCTTGGTGCTTTCTGAGTTTGCTTGTTTTCTTGCTGATGGTTCACTACCCAACTAGGTAACATTATCAGTGTAGTAAGGAGTGCTGAGTGCTGTCAGTTTATATTTTGGTGTCTTGCCTAGTCTATGTGGGTAGGAGCAAGTCTTAGAGATTCTTTGGTTGGGCTGTTTACTCTTTGGCAGTTTCTTGATTGGGATATTGTTTACTTGGTTGTTGTTCTGAGGTTGACCTTGGACTTAATCTATGCTGATCTGGGTGCTGATTATTGGTGGAGAAGTGCTGTTGCCTGGAGCTGTCACTTTTGCATAGTCTGTAGATGTTGTTAATATCTATGTGTCTATTGATGGCTGAGTTGTCAGAGTTCTAGGCTTCTAGAAATTCCCTGGCATTTTTGGACTAGGCCTTCTCTAGGATTGTCACATGAAACTATGGTTAAATCTGTCTACATCTTGTGAAATTAAAGAATTTTAGTCATTTCTTCTGACTGCCAGTTGGTGTTCCTGGATGCATTCTGCCAGTCTTCTTCCTGTATGTCCTATGTAGTGGTTGTTGCAGTTGTTACACTGTATGTTGTAGATCAGTGGTCACCAACCAGTGGGCCAGGGACCACTGGTGGTCCGTGAGAAAATTTGGTGGTCCGCAGAGAAATGTCACCTCCAAAGCAATTAATCCAGGCTGTGCAGGAACACAAGGCTGCGCAGCCCACATGGCCCATGGGAACAGAAAGCTTGTGTCACTTGCATTGTGAACAACTCAAGATAGTGAGGGGAGGGGGAAAAGGGCGGAGGGGGGAACTTGCCCCACACACTCCATGTGCCTGGTCTGGCCACAGGGCTGCTTCTTTCTCTTCTTTCTTCTGCTTTTGGCTGCACGTAAGGAAAGCAGCAAAAGTCTTTCTTTCTCTCCCCCAAACTCCACCAGAAATGAGTCTTTGGGACCCTGCAAGGCATCCTGCTCCAAGAGGCTGCGCTAGCATGACAAGTCTCCAAAGACTCATTTATGGCGGAGTTTGGGGGAAAGAAAGAAAGACTTTGCTGCTCCAGCTGCTTTCCTTGCATGAAGAGAATGGAGCTGGAGATGGTATCCTGCGATCCCAAATAAGAAATGATCGATTAGTAGGAAAAGAGGATGGGGAATTTTCCTGCAGACTTTTTTGAGGATTTTCCCAGGGTCTCTGCTGCTTCCTGCAGAGACCCTGGGAAAATGTCAGCAAGCCACCATCAGTCAAAATTCATATTAGTGATCCATGGGATTTAAAATTATGAGTTTGGTGGTCCCTGAGGTCCAAAAGGTTGGTGACCCCTATTGTAAATGACTCCTGTTTTTTTCTTCTGGGGTTGCTGGGTCTTTGGGTGTGCTTGGGATATTTTGAACGGCTTAAGTTGGTTTGTGTTCTACGCTGATTCTATGTGGTTGTAGTAGTCTCTTCTGATGCACAATGTTGAAACTTAAATAATAAAAATATTATTTAAAAATGTAATTTGAGAATGTAAGAAAAGGAGATATAGGCACTGTTTTTACTACCATGAACAGCTGCTTATGGCTGGTTTTAATCTTGGACTAAGTATACCCTAGAAGCATCTGCGTTATCCTTGTTAGTTGAGAAGGCCATTCATGAAATTGTAAGTAAGTTGTGTGTCTTTGTTCCCTCCTCTTCCTTGTTCATTCTTGCGTCCTCACCAGGTTATTCAATTCAGGAAGTTCAAGTCAACGGACAGAGCAGCTTCATCGTGGGAGCCCCACGTTATCAACACGTGGGCAAGGTGGTCTGGTTCAGCCAAAGGAGAGGACAGTGGACGCAGAAGTCAGAGCTCTCTTTAAAGGAGGTAAATGGCCTTCTGATGACCTGCAGGAATGATTTAGCTTGTAGGTATATTCTGATTGGGCGTATGGTCCATCAACCAGAGAAGAACACTTCTCTCCTCATAGCAACCTTCCAGTGTTTGGAGAGGCTGTCACAAAGAAGAGAGGGACGACCTTTTCTCCAAAGCACTGGAGGGCAAGACAAGAATTAACAGGTGGAAACTTATCAGAGATACAACCTAGAGGTGGAGCTCTTGCCTCATAATCAGAAGGCTGTGAGTTCAATCTAGGTTAGAGGCAGATATTTCTCTCTGGGCACAACGAGAATAGGTCTGCTGGACAAAACTCCGTATTGGTGATAGGAAGGGTATCCGGCCATTAAACCCTCTGCTAGTTCCATTCAGTTGCCTAGACTCTATCCTGCAAGGGATTATGGGGTTATTAAAAGATGATGCTGATGATCATTGCAAAGCTGCTTTCCTTTCTGTCTCTGTCAATGGGGACTTTTCTGGGACACACAGTGGATAAAGCAAAAAAGGGAGTGGGTATCAGGCAGGGAAACTGGTCAAACTTGGGGAATCCTAGGAAAATATTGTTTAACATGGAAATTTTAAAGTCCCCCCAGATTGGCTCATATTTTGGGGCTACCCTGTGTGCTGTGGACTTGGACAGAGACAGGAATACTGACTTGATCCTCATTGGTGCACCTATGTACTACGATGGCATTGCAGGAGGAAGGGTCTACATTTGCCAAAGACAGGTGAGTAAAACACTGGGCTGGGGGTTGAGGGCTGGGGCTGGGGTGGGCCAGGCTGGGCTGGACTAGATTTTCTTCCCAGTAGTTTGAAATGTTGCAGGATTCAATCTGGAGGTTTAGTCTTCCAAGCCCCTGTGACTACGCAGGAAAGATGGGGAGGAAGCTAACCATGAGATTTCAAGAACACAAGTGAGTGGTCAGTAGCATCACATTTCAATGAACAAGGATATTATTCAATTTTGCAGCTACTAAGATTGTTGGCTGAGTAGATACAAAAATAGCCAGAGGAATTATTGAAGCCTGGAAACAGGTCCCTTGTCAGTTAACGGGAGTGCTGATTTACCATCAGTTTATTAGGTACTTAGGAGCTGAGGAATTAGCAGCACAAGGAAACAACAGCCAGCAGCTTAACAGCCGGCTATCAACACCCCCAATCAACAAAGAAAAAACTACACACAACCAGGCATCACATAAAATAACCCGAAGCACATATTCCGGTAGATAGAAGTTCCCTGAGGATGGGCTCCTGTACAAGTCTGAAAGCTCCTCTGGTTCCAATGACTGACCCAGATTGTATCCTGCAACATTATCGTGGTACACTTATATTTGCCTTCATTTGTGAATTTGGAATGAGTTGCATTGAGATCCTTGGAACCTTTGAGAATAATATAAACTGAATTTGCATCCATTTTAAAAAGCATCATTTACTGATTGATTGATTCATTGATTCATTTGTTCATTCATTCATTTATTCACTCCAGAACAACTAGACACAAGGACAGTTTTTTTCCTCCATGCCATCATTCTGCTAAACAACTAATTCCAACAACACTATTAAATTACTAGTAGGACGGCATTACTATTATCCTTCCCATTTTTCCTAATATCTATTCCTTATCTTCTTATGACTATAACTTTGTTCCTTGTATCTTATTTATATTAATTTTTATTTAGTATCCTAGTATGATTCATGTTGATTGCTTATTTAGCATCCTTTGACTACCAATGAGTGTTGTATCTTATGATTTATGATGAATGTATTTTATGATTATAATTAGGATTTATCAATTGTTGCTTGAATGTACACTGAGAGCCTATGCACCAGAGATAAATTCCTTGTGTGTTCCATCACATTTGGCCAATAAAGAATTCTATTCTGTTCTGTTCTGTTCTGTTCCGTTCCGTTCAATTCCATTCCATTCCATTCCATATTTTTTATTCTGTTCTGTTCTGTTCTGTTCTGTTCTGTTCTGTTCTGCTCTGCTCTGCTCTGCTCTATCCCATCCCATCCCATCCCATCCCATCCCATCCCATCCCATCCCATCCTTCTATTCTATTCTATTCTATTCTATTCTATTCTATTCTATTCTATTCTATTCTATTCTATTCTATTCTATTCTATTCTATTCTATTCTACTATTTTCTGCTGCTTTTCCCAAGCAGCTAGGCTGAGTCTAGCTACAATGAATCCTGAGGCAAAGTACCAGTGTTTAGCTCAGGTTGTTGGAGAATCAAAAAGACAGAGGCTTGTGGATGTGAACTGATTGATAGAATGGTGGCTGCAAGATAAGGTCAAAAAAGTCAAAATGTCAGCTGCAGCAGTGCCAAACAATCCCCGTTTTTCATTTAAGTGCATTGCGAAGCTTTCATTGTACCATTGCAGGCTCCATCCTGACATTTTGGACCATATCCTGCAGGGAAGATGAACAGAAATACATGCTGGGCTGTTATTAATGGGTTTGATTTCCCCAACCCCCCAGGCATGACAGCTTCTGGAGAAAATGCTTTCTGCCCAATTCACGTGTCTTTCTTTCATCCCCATTTCCCAGGGAGAAACATTTTTCTGTGGCAAGGAATTGCAAGGGGAGCCCCATCACCCCTTGGGTCGCTTTGGGACCAGCATAGCAGAAGCTGGGGAAATTACTGGGGATCAGTGGACAGATGTGGCTGTCGGGGCACCACTGGAGGATGAGAATCAAGGAGCTGTGTACATCTTCCAGGGGCGGAGAAGATCCCTCAACCATGTTTTTAGCCAGGTGAGCCTTCAGCTACCCACATTCTTTTTCACTCCTCTGCCTCTCTATCTTCTGATTCTATGAGCTGTGGTGGTGCAGTGGTTAGAATGCAGTATTGCAAGCTGACTCTGCCTACAACCAGGAGTTCAATCCTTACCGGCTCAAGGTTGACTCAGCCTTCCAGGACCCAGATTGTTGGGGGCAATAGGGTGACAGTCGCTCAAGTATTGGAAGACTGCTATCATGTCAACCTTGGTCCGTCTCTTTGTTAGATTAAACATGCCTACTTCCCTCAATTGTTCACTGTATGGTTTAGCTTCCAGATCCCTAATCATCTTTGTTGTTCTTCTCTGTACTTGTTCTGTTCTGTTTTGTTCTTTAAAATATTAATATAGCCAGCCATCTTATATCCAGCTCCCCTGGATTTTATATCCAGCTCCCCTGGAGATAGATAGATAGATAGATAGATAGATAGATAGATAGATAGATAGATAGATAGATATCTTGGCGACGTTTCTGCGAGGTCCCACTCACCATCCTCAGGCCGGTGCTTTCGGCTTTGTGCCAGTGCAAGCAACATCATCATCATCATCACAAGCCTATGATGGCAGATGAGATTCTGCTGAAACGTTGCTACAACTTTAAAAGCACAGCTACAGTGATGTGGGACAATACCCGAACAAAGCTGGATCTTTGGTTATTAGGGTTTGCTCTTGCATAAAATTGGAAGTATTTTGGTGATGTTTCGACCCCCAACCAATGAGAACACAGCCAAGCCCCCACCCAATCAAGTCTCACTCCCACTGGCAGTTAAAAGAAGAAACAGCTGCAAGCTCACATTACTCCAAGAAGCACAAAGCCAAAGACACAAGCCTGAAGATGATGAATGATATTTTGTCGAAACGTCGCCAAAATACTATATATATACATACATACATACACACATATATAAGTTCCTTTGCTATGTTTCTTCTTTGCAGCGCATCCAATCTTCTATTGTTGCCAGTAGGCTTCAGTATTTTGGACAAGCTCTTGATGGGGGGTCAGAACTTACAGGTGATGGACTCCCGGATCTGGCTGTTGGGGCTGACAGACAAGTGCTGCTCCTAAGGTAAATCTGGTTTCTATTCTGCTCTGTTCTACCCTGAATATAGAATAACAGAGTTGGAAGGAACTTTGAAGGTCTTCTAGTCCTACCCCCTGCTCAAGCAGGAGACCTGTCTATACCATTCTTGAGAAATGGATGTCCAATCTCTTCTTTAAAAACTTCCAGAAATGCAGCACCCACAACTTCTGAAGGCGAGCCATTCCACTGGTTAATTGTTCTCACTGTCAGGAAATTTCTGTTTAGTTCTAGGTTGGATCTTTCCTTGATAATCTTCCATCTGTTATTTCTTGTCTTGCCTTCTGGTGCATTGGAAAAAAGGTTGACCTTTTTCTGTGACAGTCCCTCAAGTATTGGAAGACTGCTATCATGTCAACCCTGGTCCGTCTCTTTGTTAGATTAGACATGCCTACGTCCCTCAATTGTTCATTGTATGGTTTAGCTTCCAGATCCCAAATCATCTTTGTTCTTCTCTGTACTTGTTCTGTTCTGTTTTGTTCTTTAAAATATTAATATAGCCAGCCATCTTATATCCAGCTTCCCTGGATTTTATGTAAAGACTATCAGTGTGAATGCACTGTCTGAAGTAGAATAGACAATAGTCCATTTCTAATGAACTGTTATCATGCCTTCCCTGGTCCTTCTCTTCACTAGACTAGCCGTGCCCAGTTCCTGCAACCATTCATCGTATGTTTTAGCCTCCAGTCCCCTAATCATCTTGGTTGCTTTTCTCTGCACTTTTTCTAAAGTCTCAACATCTTTTTAATAGTGTGTAATCTTCTCAGAATGGATCTGGAGTAATTCCTTATAGCTCACTCTAACGTGTCCTATTTATATCTGCCATAGAGCCCGACCTGTGGTCAGTGTGGTGACTGGAATAACCTTAAACCCAACTATCATCCCCATGTCTGCCTTTGAGTGTGAAGGCCAGAATGTGCTGAACAAAGAAATCAGCACAGCGACAGTCCATTTTAAAATCCTAGGAGACTCCTGGTTTGCCTTCGGTAGGTTTACAGGTCTTCAAAGGTACTGTTTGGGCTCCTGCACACTTTCTCAGATTATTTCTTCCCCACTGCTCATCTGCATCTGAAGGGCAATGATGGAATCTTCTCAAGTGTAGTTTTGATTTGAGTCAGTCCATAGGAAGCCTCCAGAGATCTGAGTAGCACCTCATAAATTCAGAGGGTTTCACTGCACCGGATTATTGTTCACTATTTTCTGCAGCGTTCTTCCATAAATAAATGATTGTGGAAAATTCACCAGAGTATCATTGCAATACAACCCTTCATTAAACCTAGCATCCCTAAAGACAATGCCTTCAGAGAAATCCGAGACAATAGATGGGACTTCCTAGTTGTAATTCACCAAAATTTTGTGCTCTTGTAAGGGAAGTTTTTAGAATACAGGTGTTCTGAACTTGATTGTAATCTCCTTCAGGCAAAAACATTTTCAACACCATTCGGTACACTTTGACCTTGGATCCTGGTCGCCAGAAAGTACGAGCTGTTTTTCACCAGGGTTCGAATTTGTCTACCACCACAGAAGAGATGAAGATCGGTATGAGGCCAGAATCCAGGGTGTACCGTATAATATTACCGGTGAGAGAAGAGGTTTTGGAAGGGGTGGGGATGGGCAGGGTTCAGATCAGAAACAGTTTTTTTTTTAAAAAAAAGTCTGATCTTTAATGTGGAACGTAAGATGCTGCCATGAAATCAAGCCGTTCTTTTTTGTTCCCCCCTGATTCCTCATGAGGACAGACTTGCGTAGAAGACAGCCTCACCCCCATAATCCTTCAGCTGAATTATACCCTGACGGGAGAGCCAATCCCACAGGCCAACAATCTACGGGCCATCCTGAAGAAAGATGATGAGTCTAATCTGCTTTTGGCATCTGTAAGTCCATGCCCAGCGTGCATTCCCCTAGTGTCACTTGGTTGAACAGGAAAGATGTGGAACTGAAGTTTAATACGGTGGTACCTGATACTCGACTGCTTTGAATTTGATACTCCACATGTTTTGATGCAAACGTTTTGTCCTGGTACTCATTGTTTGGTACTCAGTGTACAAGCTACATATTCAGGAATGGAGGTCATTTTTCTTCCATTTGTGGGTCACCTTCCTTGCAACATCCTGCCTTACCTATTTTGATTTTGCATGTGCATGGAATGAAGGGGGGATGCATAAATGGTGATAACTGAAATGAGGTGACGGGATGGGCAGGAGAGGGGAAGGACAGCTGCCTTATGATTCCCTATATTATTCCTTATGGGAAAAAGTTGTTTGGTACTAATCCTTTTTGGTACTCGTGCTTCCCTGAACCCATTAAAGACAATGTACCACTGTATAAAGATGTAGTGAGTAAAGAGAATGGCCTTGAAGGACAGAGGGAAGATCTTCTGCTAAGGCAGTGGTATATCACCATCTTCTGCTCAGATGGATGGCAGCATAAATTTGATAAATCAATAAAATAAATGATCAAATAAACAAGGCTTGAGCTGAGCCTATAAAAATAGCAATAAGATTTTAGGCTTTTATACTGCTTCACAGTGCTTTACAGCCCTCTCTAAGCATTTTGCAGAATCAGCATATTGCCCCCAACAATCTGGGTCCTCATTTTACTGACCCTGGAAGGAACCTTGAGCTGGTCAGGATTGAACTGTTGACAGTTGACAGAATACTGCATTCTAATCACTGCACCAACATAATGCTTTACAAAAACTCTGAGGCAGATCTCCTACGCTAATTCTCGTGAAGATAAAATGAGGAGGAAAGAAGTTCATATAGAGGTTCAAGATTTTGTTGCTACAGCTATTCTAATAACCATAGCTTTAGGTCTGTTCAATGTCCATTTCTTAGTCTGGTCTAGCTTGCAGAGCTGACAACGGGGAAGTAACAAGCCCTTATACTTATTTCTGAAAATTCTTTCCATCAAAAATGATCTTGCTGGAAGTTTTACCTCAGCAACACAAAGTTTGTTTATTTGTCATGTGACAAGTCTTTCTGGTTATAAAAGCTCAGCTAGTCAATTGACAGATATTAATTTAACATTTATTTATTTTTTCATCATATTTATATAACCGCACCTCTCACAAAAATGTGACTCTGGGCAGCAAACAATAAGAAAATTTAAAATATATTTTATAAAAACAACAGACAATTAAATATTCATATTATAATTAAAAGGCAAAGAGAGAGCAGCAGATGTTAACAATCGAGCCACCTCAACAATTTGCCCTTGCCTTGGTGCTCACAATTTTGATGACATTGTCTTGTTTTAAAGGACTTCCCTAAAGTTAATAATGACAAACCCAGCCTCATCTAAGGGGCTTGTAGGATATCCCTTAAGGTGGATGCCATAGCAGAAAAGGCCTGTCTTTAGGTCCTGCCAGATAATAGCAATTTAGCAGACTCTTAGTAGTAATAGGACCCATAGCACACCTCTTCTACTGGAGGAAGGACCACATCATGCCTCCTCTAATGGATCTGATGGAATTGTCAGATGTAATCCGTAAGAGGAGGTCCCTCAAATAACATGGATGCAAGTCCATCGAGGAATCCAGTTGAGTGGCTGTGAACCAGTGGGTTCTGTCTCTGAAGGACTAAGTCCAAGATTTTCAGAATTAAATCGTGAATCAATTCTCTGCACAAAGCAAGCTTCTACAGGTAGTGATATAAACAAGACGATAAATAAATGTGGTGGTGTCAACTTCTACAAAGAAAGACTTGGAACTGAAAGGTGCATTGTATAGATTCAACTTGTATTACAAGGTTTTCCAACCGTGGCAACTTTAAGACCTATGGACTTCAACTCCCAGAATTCCACACATCTGGGAATCCATGTGGAATTCTGGGAGTTGAAATCCATGCATCTTAAAGTTGCCAAGATTAGGAAATCCTGCTCTAATATTTTATCTCTCACCTCACCTATTCATGGAGGCTGATATTTCCTCTCTATCTTTTCTGCATGTCCTCGTAGCTGCACTTTGAGAAGAACTGCGGAAGAGATGGAATCTGTAAAGACCAGTTAAAAACATCCTTCGGTTTCTCACGGTACAGTACACTTTTCATCTTTATAGCAACCACATTTCAACAGACTTCATTCATGCATGCTAAAAGCTGATCTAAGTCAATGAACAGTATTTACTGTTCAACAGTTGTGTTTAGGTGTTCAATATGTATAAAATTACTGGTAGACCTCGACTTACGACTGTAGCGGTGCCTGGAATTTCCTTTGTAACTCATGATAGATTATAAGTCAGACATCCGCATGACTAGGCCCAATTTTACACATTTTTTGTGGTGGTCATTAAGCAAACATGGCAGTCATTAAGTGAACACTGTTAAATGAATCCATGTATTCCTATAGGCATCCTTTACCTGAATCACAAAATGGGCGGCAAATAAATTTGATAAATAAAATAAAAATGGGCATTTTTTTAATGGAAATCTGCCAAAAAAGCTGTGAACTGGGAAAAATGTTCAAAATCATCTTCCCGTGATCAAAGAATGCTGCAAATGGCCATAAAAGCTAGCCATGTACCAAGCATCCAAAATACGGTCACGTGATTGGGGGTGTGGGCAGCCTTTGGAATTCTGGAACCAGGTCGTAAATAGCTTTTGGGGATTCCATTGTAATTTTGAATGGTTGCTAAGCAACCAGTCACTAAGTGAGGACTATTTGTATAAGGCAGAACTCTCACTGCATTACCAGAATACTCTGTTTGGAAACTGGTGTTGTCCAACCTTGGCAACTTTAAGCTAGGTGAATTTAAAACTGCCAGAATTCACTACTACTACTACTACTACTATTACTATTACTATACACAAAAATGACAGTATACACAGCAAACGAGATAACCATGCTGGGTTTCGTATCACAAATCACTAGTCGAACATTTCCCAAGTGTTTAGTACTGCGTGATATATCGTTGGATTATGCGAGCAGGTCCCAGTAAGGTGGCCTTCTGCAGCTGACCAATGATGATCTTGTCAGCGCCAATTGTTTTTGAGTGCTTGCCTAGGTCTTTAGACACAGCACCCAGTGTGCCGATTACCACTGGAACCACCTGCACTGGTTTATGCCAGAGTCTCTGCAGTTCGATTCTCAAGTCCTGATATCTGGTGACTTTTTCAAGTTGTTTCTCGGCAATTCTGCTGTCACCAGGTATGGTAATGTCGACGATCCACACTTTTTTCTTCTCCACAATTGTGATATCCGGAGTATTGTGTTCCAAAACTTTGTCGGTCTGTATTATTATTATTATTATTATTATTATTATTATTATTTACACAAAAATATGAAACTGCACCTACCAGTTGTTTAGCTGAGGTTGGCCTTTCATATGCATCCAGTTCTTCCCAGAGTGTTGTAATGTATTTGCAGGTAGTCCTCAACTTACAACAGTTCACTTAGTGACCATTAAAACTGCACTGAAAAAAGCGACATGACAATTTTTCAAAGTTACGATTTTTCCAGCATCCCCGTGATCATGGAATCAACATTCAGGTGCTTGTCAACTGGTCCATATTGATGACCACAGACTGTGTCTGTGTCCCAAGATCACATGATCCCCTTTTGTGCCCTTCTGACAATCAAAGTCAGTGGGGAAGCCAGATTCATTTAACAGCCGGGTTACTAACTTATCAACTGCATTAATTCACTTAACAACCAAGGCAAGAAAGGGGGCAAAAATGGGGCAAAATTCACTTAACAAATGTCTCAGTGGAGAAAGAAATTTTGGGCTCAATTGTGGTCGTAACTCAAGGACTACCTGTTTGCGGATCTAAGCAATGTTGTCTTTTATAACTGACAAATGGACTTTATCAATGAGCAGATTTTTTAAATAATGCCAATAACCATTGTAACTATCAAGACCGGTTTATCCCAAAATCTACTAAATTCAGGTGTTCAGATCTTGATACTTTGTGATCTTCTCCAATTCTTTGCCTGCTATTTTATGGTTTCCTGGCATTACCATTTATCCACATGTTCTTCTTTTCAATCAGTTATTCTCATTTTATCTGCTTTTTTATAAATAACTCAAGATGCTGAGCATACTTACTACTGCTTATTTTACTACAACAGCAGCCCTGTTAGTTGGATTGTACTGAGAAAGAGAGACTGACTTACATGCCTAAGGGAGGCCTACAACTCACCATCTTCTGCTTTCTAGAACAGTACTTTAACCACTATTCCAACTGGTTCGCATCCAGCCACCAATCCTGATCCATCCTCGAGTTCCAAAATCAATGCTCTTATTCTTTGACACCACAGTCATAACAGATCATTTTTAGATGCGTTAGACCAGAAGTCGCCAACCTTTTGTATGTCAGGGACCACCAAATTCATAATTTTAAATCCTGTGGACCACGAATATGAATTTTGACTGACGGTGGCTTGCTGACATTTTCCTAGAGTCTCTGCAGAAAGCAGCAGAGACCCTGGGAAAATCCTCAAAAAAGTCTGCAGGAAAAATTCCCCATTCCGTTTTCATACCAACTGATCATTCTTTATTTGAGATTGCAGGATACCCTCTCCAGCTCCATTCTCGGAGTGGGGGGATGGGGGGGGGAGAGACTTTTGACTTCAAGCAAGGAAAGCAGCAGAAGCAGAAAAAGTCTTTCTTTCTCTCCCCAAAACTCCACCAGAAATGAGCCTTTGTGAGATTTGTCTCTTGGAGCAGGATGCTTTGCAGGGTCCCAAAGACTCACTTCTGGCGGAGTTTGGGGGAGAGGAAGAAAGACTTTTGCTGCTTTCCTTGTGTGCAGCCAAAAGCAGAAGAAGAAAGAAGTGGAAAGAAGCATCCCAGTGGCCAGCCAGGGCGCGAGGGGTGAATTCCCCCTCTGCCCTTTCCCCCCTCCCCTCACTACCTTGTGTTTATTTTACTTATTTTATTTGGTTTGTCAATTGCTTACAAGATAATAGGTATAAGTAAAAACATATTTATGAATACAGGGGTACATATAAGAAAAATAAAAAGAAACAATAGGACAGGGACGGTAGGCACATTGGTGTGCTTATGCATGTCCCCTACAGACCTCTTAGGAAAGGGGTGAGGTCAATAGTAGAAAGTCTAAAGCTGAAGTTTTTGGAGTTTGGGGAAGAAACCACAGAGTCAGGTAGAGTATTCCAGACATTGACCACTCTGTTCCTGAAGTCCTATTTCCTGCAATCAAGTTTGGTGCGATTAACCTTGAGTTTGTATCTATTGTTTGCTCTTGTATTGATATGGTTGAAGCTGAAGTATTCATTGACAGGTAGGACATTGTAATGTATGATTTTATATACTATACTTACATCGGACCAAAGGCGGCGTAGTTCTAGGTTTTCTAGGTCTAGAATTTCGAGTCTGGTGGCATAAGGTATTCTGCAACGAATAGAGGAGTGGAGAACTCTTCTTGTGAAATATTTCTGGACTTTCTCAACTGTGTTAATATCAGATACATAATGTGGGTTCCAGACTGATGAGCTGTATTCGAGTATTGGTCTAGCAAATGTTTTGTATGCTCTAGGTAGTAGTGTTATATTACCAGAGAAAAAGCTATGTAAGATTAGGTTAACAACTCTTAATGCCTTTTTGGCTATGTAGTTACAGTTCACAATGCAAGTGATGCAAGCCTTGTGTTCCTGCAGGACATGTGGGCAGCATAGCCTTATGTTCCTGCACAGCCTGGATTAATTGCTTTGTGGGAGTGCTTTGTGGGTGACATTTCTTCATAAAATCTCTCCAAACTTTGTTGGATAAAGTATGAGTAGTCTTCAAAGCCACACTATCTATAGCACATCTAAAGCCATTATTTTAAAAAACCTGAACATGTAAACCATCTTCACAATAATGGTTTTCTTCTTTAGAAAGTCTCTATATATCTCAGGTAGGTTTCTCCAAGTTAAAGGAAGTGGCTTCCAGATGGAATTTCACTTCAAGAATTCTTGTTTTCGAGATTAAACAAGGACATTTCCCCTCTTTCCTTTAGCTTGAATGAATTGGTGGTTGGCCTGACCTCTGAACTCAATCTTACTGTTTTCATCCGGAATGACGGAGAGGATTCTTACAGCACCAACTTGACTTTCATCCATCCATCTTCACTGTCCTATCGCAGATTTATATTAGTGCAGGTATGAAGATAGGAAAGAAATCAGAGACACCAGAGGGGAGAGTGTTGGGAAATGGCCAAAGAAGGTGCTGTCCATCACCAGTGATAATCATCATGTCCTGTCCTCCTCAGACCAACAGAAAATACGTGATTATTAAATGCATCTCTCCTCATGGTACAGAGGAAGTCCCTGTGAGGAAAACCATCTGTGGCATCAATCATCCCATCTTCCGAAGCATGGCTGAGGTACTGTCCTCTTGTATGTTAGTCTAGTGGCCATCTGTGAACCCAGAATTGTTGACAGTATCCACCCAAAGTCCAAGAAAGATTGACCATTTCCTTTCAAAGACTGTCTTATGGTGTTGGTAATATTCTAACACGTGGAACCTTTTGCCAATTGAGGAGGTTGGCTTTATCCATAAATTCAAGGGTTAGTAGCAACTCAAGTTGCTAAATGTCCATGGAGATTCTCAGTCCTCCAGGTCATGGTTGTCCCAAAGGTATTTTTTAAAAAAACAACTGGACTGTTTTCTCCTTGAAGATGTTTCAACTTCTCATCCAAGAAGCTTCTTCAGTTCTTCTTCAGAACTGAAAAAGCTTCTTGAACGAGAAGTGAAATGCCTTCAAGGAAGAAACAAAGTCCAGTTAGCTTTTGGGGAAAAAAACACCTTTGGGACAACCATGACCTGGATGACTGAGAATCTCCATGGACATTCAGCAACTCAAGGCATTGCAACTCTCTATAAAAAGAGTCCAGAGTGGCTATTTTGTGAGAAGGTTCATAGCTTGTTCTCAAAAATCACAAAACAGCATTAAGGTAGAATGCTGTGTACCTGATCTAGTTGAATTGCTTCACAATAAATAATTGTGTACAAATCTGACTCTAAAATTTATCTTGCACAAAGGTCATTCCCATTCCCAATTTCTAGGGATTGTAGCTCTTCAACAGAGATGGGAAAATAACTGAGAAGTTTCCAAGTTTCTCATGGCCAATGTTTTGGTTATTAATGAAGTATAAATTTGGATTGAATGTATAACACGGCTCTGCTTTAAGCATTCTGAGTCATCTTCTTTTGTGTCTCCTTCTTTCCAGGTGATCTTTATTGTCACCTTTTTTGTTTCCCAAGATGCAAATCTAGGAAGTGTGGTGAGCATCAGTGCCACAGCTTCCAGGTAAAACTTCCCATGACTAAAATAGCAATAGCTTTCTCTAAGCAATTTACATAGTCAGCATACTGTCCCCAACAATCTGGGTCCTCATTTTACTGCCCTCAAAAGGATGGAAGGCTGACTCAACCTTGAGTCTGGTGAGATTCAAACTGTCAAATTTCAGGCAGTTGGCAGTTAGCAGAAGTAGCCTGCAGTACTGCATTCTAACCACCGCAGCACCAAGTTCTTGCAAACATTCTCCAATGTAAATCAGATTAGCCTCCATGATGTCTATGACTGTTTTTCCACTAGCAATTTACAGCGTTTTCTCAAGTTATAATCTTGTGCAAATGTTCCTTAAATAAATTCAACTTCACTGATACCGAGGTTCTCACTGTTATATCAGATGATGTTGAATGTGATATGATAGGGGAGGGAGGACCGGTAAGAGAGATGCAGGTGTACTGTGATTGAAGCTGTGCCCATTTTTCCTTGCATCCCTCCAGTGAAAATAATGTCACTGTCACAAAGGACATGGTTTATCAAATGGAGCTGCCTGTCAAGTATGCAATCAACATTTTCATCAATAAGTAAGTGGCCTCCCCCTGCTTATATCGTATCTCAAGAAGTTGCCGTGAAGTCTTAGATTGTTTGCACAGCCACCTATGTGAATCCATTTTTCATGATTTACATTGCTAAGGAATGAGTGGAGCACAGCTGTAATCTTAATTAACTCAAAATTATGGTCAATCACATATAATGTTTCTCCCCCCCCCCTCAACCTTTCACTTTTCCAGCTTGGATTCATCAACCAAGTATGTTAATATTTCTGCTGGACAGGAAGATGAAACCCAGACTGTGGAACATCATTACGAGGTGAAAGAGATGTGGATCGTTTTGTGGTCAAGGAGTTAGAACAGAGAGGGGCTTATTTATTAAGACAGAGGAAGAGTTTCTTAAGAATGGAGCGCGTTTATGTAGCGATGGATGCATTCTTCCTTTGAAAAGTATTTGCTTCTCATCTTTTTGTTCTCTTTTGGACTGATCTCTGTTGCATAATGTATAGATGTTGCTAATGTCTATGTGTCAATTGATGGCTGATTTGTCATTCATTAAATTTCAACACATCCCTGCATCTCAACAACTCCTGGAAGTGTACAACAGTAGATATATCAGCTTAATGATACATCAATTTAAACCTAATCAGGAAATCCATGTCCGCATGGATTAGAATAGCACAGAAGTAAGTAAGTAAATATTAAATGAACTAACTAAGATTTCTGCCATCCTCTGTGAATTTAAGGATCTTGGGGAAAGCTGGAAGAACAGACTGGTGTGATGATATAGGGGAAAAGCAGGCAGAGCTAGTGGGGCAGAGTTAAACAGGCCATCAGTTTAGAGTTATTATGTTGCCACAAATGGTCAAAGTCCAATTCCTCTTGAATTCCATTGACCCTCATCTGGTGGCAATTTAATACTGGAAATTTTAGAAAGCTGGCACTCTGACAAATCAGCCATCTATAGAGACATAGGCATTAGCAACATCTATAGACTATGCAAAAGAGACAATCAGCCAGCCCAAATGAGAACAGAAAGACTCTAGCACAGGGGTGTCAAACTTGATTTCATTGAGGGCCGCATCATGGCTGTGTTTGACCTCAGGGGTGGGATGGGCATGGCCAGGGTGGGTGTGGACAGCTTGACATCACTCATATCGGGACTGCCTGTGGCAGCCTGAGTGCTCTGCTCTGCCTGTGAAAACAGACTCCTGAACTCCGTTTTTGGCCACAACGACCTCCTTCAGCCCTCTGCCAGTGAAAATGGAGCTCGGGCGGGAGTGTGTGTGCATGCGTCCCCATCAAGCTCTGTTTTTACTGGCAGAGGCACTGAGGGCTGGTCCTTCACTGTTTCCAGGATGGCCCTGTGGGCCAGATCTAAGCCCTTCATGGACCTGCTCTATCACCTCTCCACCAGTAACCAGGACTCAGATCACCATAGATCAAGATAAACTTCAGGCCAACCCCCCTGCCAAACAGCCATTAATAAACAAGCAAAGAATCTCCAAGACCACTCCCACCAACACTGACAGGGCAAATCACAGAATATAAACTGAAAGCAAACAGCACTCCTTACTGCACTGATGATGTTACCTAGTTAGGGTAATGAAACGTCTGCAAGAAAACAAGCTCAGAGAGCACCAAGGACCCCTCATTTCAACCCTGAGCTACAAATATTCTCATTTTTTAATATCTGCAGTGCACCTGAAAAAGGGCACATTGGGCAATAAGCCTATCCCCAGACAAGGCTGCCTGCCAAGCACCACTCATTCCCTCCATTTTTTCTAGCCCACTCTGAAGATACAAAAAGCGGGGAGGGTGGGGAAGCCCCTATTCCAAGCAAGCCCTGGAAGGGAGCAAAAGGGCCTCAGACCTGGCACCCAGAAAGCCCCCCACTCCATGACCCCAGGCACCAGGATAGCTTGTACAGATAGTCCTCAACTTACAACAGTTCATTTAATGATTGTTCAAGGTTTCAACAGCACTGAAAAAAGTAACTTATGACCTTTTTTTCACACTTAAGACCACTGCAGCATCCCTATGATCACATGGTCATAATTCAGACACTTGACATGGATTTATGATGGTTACGATGCCCCAAGGTCATGTGATCCCCTTTTGTGACCTTCTGACAAGCAAAGTCAATGGGAAAGCCAGATTCACCTGTTACTAATTGAACAACTGCAATAATTCACTTAACAACTGTGGCAAGAAAGTAAATTGGACAAAATTCACTGAACAACTGTCTCATTTAGCAACAGAAATTTTGGACTTAGTTTTTTTTTTTTTGAAAACAGTTTTATTAATTTTGACAACAAACAAAAACCCATAAAACATAAAAACATCATCCTTTCCTTTATGAGTTTACAGAGAGTGTATCGGTTGGTTTACCACTTTTTTTTGTGCATCCATTTCATACTCTCCATTGTAATTATGTTACATAATAGCTCATATTATCAATCAACAATTATATAGCCTGATATCATTATTAAACAATCATTTGACTATAATTTTATTAATTCATACTTTAGCGAGATAACTATAGTTTACTTAATTTATTTTATAGCAAATCATAAAGTCATAGCAAGTCTATCTTAATAAAATTTTATAAAGATAATATCATAGAAAAAAAGGAAATATGTATTCATTGTTTCCTAAGGTTCTAAATATTCTATCATTATATTTTATTATCTAACCATTGATAGAAAAGGTCCCAAACTTCATAAAATTGTTTATCTTCTTGTTCTCTAATTTCAAATGTCAACCTACTCATTTCAGCACATTCCAATATTTTCTTAATAATTTCTTCCTGTGATGGTATTTTCTCACTCTTCCAATTTTTGGGCTTAGTTGTGGTCATAAGTCAAGGACTACCTGTACTGGACTCTCCGGAGGTAGAGTCTTGGAAACACGAGTAAAGAATTTTAAGTACAGAGTTGTACTTCTCATGTCTAGATAAGAGGGGAAACCATCCCTATAAAAGCAAAGTATTGACTTGCACTAAGAATGTTGGATGTCTGTGCATTTTCTTACGCTGAATTTTCTTCCAATTTAGATGAAGAATGCGTATCTTCGAAATGTTTCTGTTTCAGTAACATTTCATATTCCTGTGTCACTGAATGGAACACAGATTTGGGATGCAACCTTGGACGTCCCTCAAGAGGTATTGTTGTGGCCCGATAGCAGCCAGCGGAGCTGGGTGGCAGACTCGGACAGTGAGGAGGTTGGGGGGGAACTTGGGCCAGTCCTGGAGTCTGAGGAAAGCTCTGGCGAGTGCTCTGCATCAGAGGCAGAAATGGAGCCAGGGCCATCTGACAGTTATCAGCTGCCTCCAGAGTCGGACATCAGTGAGGTAGGACAGCTGGAGCCTGTTCCCAGTGTGCGCATGTGCAGAACTGCCAGAAGAAGGGAACAGCTAAGGAACAAGAGCCAACTTGGGAATAAAGCCACAGGTGGATGGTGAATGGCCCCTCCCATAGGGAATAAAAGAGGAGCAAAGGAGGAGTGGGATTTTGCAGGAGACCATTAGTTCATTTGAAGACCAGTTCCTGCATTCTTTTTTTTTTTTAACAAATTTTATTCAGTTTTTCACATTAAAAACAAAAATCTCTTTTTAGTGGACAATGTATTTCCGGGTCATCACTTTTACATACAAATATGACAGCAATTATACATTCATATATGCATACTTAATTCTATTATACCTTTTCCATTCCAAATTTTGAGTAAGGAGAGAAACAAACACATTAATTCTAGCCTCTTTCATTAATCTCAGTCGAAACATCTTTTTGTTTCATTTCAATTATTTCAAATATAATCCTTTAATATTTATTTTAAAAATAAAGATAAACAATATGTGTTTGCCTAATAATAATAATAATAATAAAAGTTACCAATGTCTCTCCTTGCTTTTAATAGTCTATATTAACTTATTAATTTAGTTGGTTCTTTAGTCTGCCATATTCCCTTTCCATTACACATTCTTTTTATAAATTCTAGATTAATACGAATTTTAACACTAAAAAACAAACAAACAAACGAGTATAGGTTTCCCCCCTTTTACTGTTTTGAGTGTGACACCTCAATGATTAAAATATACCTTCAGATTGTTCCTTTCTTTTGTCCATCAGTTCCCTCAGATCATTTGTGTGCCCGGAGCAAACACTCCAGGATCCAAGGAATTTGTGAAGCAACTAAACAAGCAACCTGTTTTGGTAAGCATACCTGGTGCTCTTGCTGGCAAGTCTCCTTTGAAAAAGCAGATGGACTTGGGGGAATCTTGGTGGCCACATGGGCTGCCCACTGTGGTGACAAGAAATTAATAGTCTTAACATTCCTACAACCAGACTTGACAGTGTTCTTCTGTGTCTTCCAGGACTGCTCTGTAGCCACCTGTAAAACAATCACTTGCAATGTTCCATCCTTGGAATTCCGTCAACTTATTGAGTTCAAGATCAAAGGGGACATTGGCTTCAAGTGGTTTTCACAGGTATGGAGGCATCTGCTGGGTCTTTATTGGGTTAGACAGCAGGACAGGAAAACGCCTTTTGTGGTATAATAATAATAACACACCATCACACATATAGAAAAGCAACTACATTTTAGGACATGTTTGCATAAGGGCGTTTCCACATATGCATTGACTTCAGTACCATATGTATTCCCTAATTTTGCACACAGCATTGACCTCAATCTGTCCCATGATAGAGAAACACAGGTGTTTCTTGGTTCTCATTTTCATGTGGACTTCATCTTTCCATTGAGCTGACCGGTGCTGCCTCTACCTAGCCTGTGATACAAAAATGTGGATGGCTTTTAGTTCTCATCTTCATTTTTCCTTCATTATGTTGACTATTTGTGGCGAGGCAACAAAAGATAAAAGCAACTGGCCAATACATAGAAGTGGTGGAGCCTACCATCAAAGCAATAAGAAAGGATGAAGTGAAAATACCACAATACCATCACTTCAAGCAGAAAAGGAGTCTTGGGAAGCTGGGGGTTAGGACAAAGCTAGTGGGAAATTGTCTAGTTCTCAGCTCCAAAAGAAATCCTGTAAAATTGTCTTTCCTACGGAGGAACTGCTGAGCCAAACGTTCTTTAGCTTAGATTGAGGAGACCAAGAGAAATGCCAAAACAGCATGGGGACATAGGAGCACAATGCTGATTTCAGACCAAAAGCCCCTGTATATGGAATAGCTCTGCAATATATAATAGTGAAAACTGTCCCACAGTTTCATTATCACCTTCAACAAATGATAATTCATAGGATTCTTCCATATATATTTTGTTGCTGGATGGGATTTGGCCCATGAAGATAGGCCAATGGCCACTGGCAAGTCTATGTCCATAAGTAACATTTCTATTAACATCAGTACAGGTAATCCTCGATTTAGAACAGTTTGTTTAGTGACTGTTTGAAGTTACAACAGCACTGAGAAAAGTGAGTTATGACCACTTTTTACACTTATGACTGTTGCAGCATCCCCCATGATCATGTGATGAAAATTCAGACATTTGGCCACTGATTCATATTTATGACAGTTGCAGTGCCCCAGGGGTCATGGGATCCCCTTTTGCAACCTTCTGACCAGCAGACGTCAATGGGGAAGCCAGATTCACTTAACAAACATGTTAGTGACTTAAAAACTGCAGTGATTCACTTAACGAGTGTGGCAAGAAAGTTGTAAAATGGGGCAAAAGTCACTTGACAAGTGTCTTGCTTAGCATTGGAAATTTTGGGCTCAGTGATGGTTGTAAGTCAAGGACTACCTTTAATTCTTAGCCTTCCCTCTCTTGGTACAACCTTTCAAGCAACCTAACTCTCCACTTCTGAGGCTGTTTATATCTTTTTTCAGATCCAGCAGAATAAGGTGACTTTGGTGAGCTCCGCCCAAATTTCTTATGACAAGAGCAAATACAAGCAGATAGAAGAATTCATGAAAAGCCAGGTAATGATTCCCCTCCTCTAAGGAATAACTAAAGAAGTGAACCTAGTGGAAATTTTGAGTAGTTCTAGAGAACCAGCAAATACCACTTCTGACTGGCCCCACCCCCATCTATTCTCTGCCTCCCGAGTCCCAGCTGATTGGCTTGGTCTTCTTTTGTTGCACAGGAGAACAGAGCTGGAAAGCAGGTTAGTGGGGTGGGGAGGGAATGGGGATTTTGCAGTATCCTTCCCCTGCCACTCTCGCCAAGTAATGCCCAAAGAACCGGTAGTAAAAAATTTTTGAATCCCACCAAGATTGTCATCAGAACTTCTGGCTCCAACGGAAGATAAGCACAGTATGAAGAAAGGAAGTTGTGACCAAAGGATTGTGATTTCCCTTGTATGATCCAGTCCTTCCATTCTTCTAGGCGAAGACCACCGTGGAGTTCTTTAAAGACTACAACTACCTGCCCATCATTATTGGCAGCTGTCTGGTTGGTCTGGTACTCCTTGTTCTGATTGTAGCAATTCTGTATAAGGTAAGCCCTGAGAGAGCAAACGGCCTGCAGTAAACATTTTAGTAACCCACTTCCATCCTAGTTATGTTATCAGCCTTCCCAGATAGATGGGACAGGAAACATGAGCAGATAAAACAATTCTACTTTGTTGTAAGACTACATTAACAGAAGATTGCAAGTTTGGGTACAAATCTCCCATTGTCTTTTTTATAGCCAGAGAAAATAGGGAGAATTGAACTCTTCCTTTACCCATTACACAACCTCAGGCTATATCATTTCTTATCTAACTGTTGCGTAGGTAGCATCTTAACTTTTCTCCCCATCTCCAAAAGTCATTCCCGCATTTACCTTTATATTATGAGACAATATATCAAGTTATTGCTTTTCTCAAATGAAAGTGGTTCTGCTAAAGCCAAGAGGGAGAGAGGTGCCTGAAACAGAGGAGAAAAATCTACGAATAAAGTGAAGGGTGTCCATTATTGTCCATCCTTCAGTCTTACAATAAACCAATTTGTCTATGGAGATTCAGAATCATCTAAGTCATAATTGACCCAAAGATACTTTTCCAAAAGGCAACTGGGTTTCTTTGGTTTTTTAACTCCCTTGAAAATATTTTGCTTCTCGTCCAAGAAGTTTCTTCAGTTCTGACTGAATGGCGGTGGGGAATGGAAGGATTTATTTATTTTATGGTGTCAGAAGAACACCAACACTGACATCCCCTAAAACTCAGCTGAAGGTGTTACCTAGCCTGGTAATGAAACACTCGGAAACCAACCCACAAGCTGGAAGAATGAACCTTCTCCCTCAATCCTTCCAGTCCATACCATTCTGTCAGAACTGAAGAAGCTTCTTGGATGAGAAGCAAAAGTTGCCATCTGTCAGAAATGGGGTAGGGCAGGAGTAGTCAACCTTTTTATACCTACCACCCACTTTTGTATCTCTGTTAGTAGTAAATGTTTTCTCTAACCGCTCACTGGTTCCACAGTAATGGTGATTTATAAAGTAGGGGACTACTGCCCACCATGAAAGCTGGAACGCCCACTAGTGGGTAGTAGGGACCAGGTTGACTACCACTGGTGTAGGGTTTCCTGCTTGGGTGGAGGGTTGGACTAAATGACTTACAAGGTCCCTTCCAACTCTGTTAACCTGTAAAGACATTTTCAAGGAAGAAATCAAGGAATTCCAGTTGCCATTTTGAAAACCATCTTGAGAATGAACCAACTGGTTTGTGGACTCCTCTAGATTGGACACCTTTTCAGACTGCGTATCTATCTAATTTGCCACCATTATTGCTCAATGCTAAACTGAATTTTCTTTTCTTTTTTTCCTTCCAGCTTGGATTCTTCAAAAGACAGTACAAACTGATGATAGATGAGGCACATAATGAGGTGGCTGAAGGTCCACCAGAAACCAGCACCCCTTCTGATGCTACCAAAGGATAAATGTCTATGGAGAATCTCAATCATCCAGGTCATGGTTGTCCCAAAGGTGCTTTTTCAAAAGTCAACTGGACTTTCTTTGTTTTTGCCTGGAGACATTTTGCTTTTCACCCAAGAAGCTTCTTCAGTTCTAAATGAATCAGAAATTGAGAATCAACAATAGAATTAGACCAGACTAGAGTAGAGTAGAGTAGAGAGGAGGGAAGGGGAAGGGATTCATGGAGAGGAGAGGGGGAGAGAAATGTTCAACAGAGTGAGAGGTGGGGAAGGGAGAACTATCTTGGATGAGAAGCAGAAAAGTCTTCAAGCAAAAACAAAGTAAGTCCAATTGCCTTTTGAAAAAGCACCTTTGGGGCTACCAAAGGATAATCAATGGCACCAAAAAAAGTGACATGACAATTTTTCACACTCACAACCATTGCAGTATCCCCCATATTTACACGATCAAAATCAGACACTTGGCAATTCATATTTATGACGGTTGCAATACCCCGGGGTCATGTGATCACTTTTTCTGAACTTCTGATAAGCAAAATCAATAGGGAAGCCAGATTCACTTAACAACTATGTTACTAACTTAACAACTGCAGTGATTCACTTAATAACTGTGGTCAGAAAGGTCATGAAATGGGCCAAAATTCATGTAAGAACTGTCTCACTTAGGAACAGAAATTTTGGGCTCCATTGTGGTCGTAAGTCAAAGACTACCCATACATAAGGAGCATGTTGATGAAAACTTTCAGTAATTCCAGGTAGAGTTGTTTGGAAGTTGAGTAAGGGCAATTGGATTTGTTTTCTTGTTGGTTCAAAATGTTTGTTGCTGTTCTTCAGTTTTAGCAAATTGGTTGGGGTGACCGTATTATGTGTTCTAAGGTAAAGGATTTAGGAGCTGGAACATTTACTTCCCAACAACTCTCTGACTTCTCACCCAACAAGCCTATCCAGATGAGGAGAGAAAATGACACCTTTCTGGAGACACCTTTCCTCTAACTCAGAGGTCCCCAACACCCAGTCCATGGACCAACACCAGTCCATGGCATGCCAGAAACCGGGCCCTACAAATAAGTGAAGCTCCATCCACAGGATGCTGGTAGCACAAGAAACCAGGTCCACAGAAAAACCTCTCTCCATGGAACCGGTCCCTGGTGCCCAACAGATTGAGGGGGGCCCACTGGCCTACCCACCTTGCTCCAACCAAGGAAACTACTTGGACTAGCAATGAAACATTTTGAACCAATTAAAAAAAAAAGATATCCAGTTGCCACGATTCAATAAAATATAAAAGATATAAAAGGAGATTTAATGGAAGTATAAAGCATGCTAGGAAACACACCTATTCTGATATTTGATGTATATGGTCGTGATGAGAAACATCACACAGCTGTAGGTTCTTAGTGAATGAAGAACATACAAATGTATGAACGAAATATTGTATTATTGGTCACATTCTTTTGCATGCATGTGTTTTGTGAGAAAATAGGCATATTGTTGCTCAACGGTTGGATGGGCGGCATATAAATTTCATAAAGAAATAAAGAAATTTGTGGATTGATCCTGGTGAAGAGCAAAATCAAACTTACACTAAAGAAAGGACAAAATTTATGGGTAGTCAAAGGCAGGGGTGGGATTCTACTGGTTCGGACTGGTTCGGATGAACCAGATGTTACATTTGAATCTGGTTTGCCGAACTGGTATTTGAACCGACCAGATGGCCCCACCCACTCTTCCCCTTCCAGGAGTCTCCATGAGGCCATTTTTGATGCAGGTAAGTGCAGGGTCCACGTGGAGGCTTTGTGAGGGAGAAAAAACGGCCCTCTTGGAACTACCAGAAATCGCGGAACAGGCCTGTTTCCAGCTTCTGGAGAGCCTTCGGAGCCCAGAGGCTGTTTTTGCCCTCCCTGAGGCAAGCCTCTGGACCCTCGGGAAGGTGAAAAATGCCCTCCCAGAAGTACCAGTAGGCCATGCCCACCCACAACTGGGCAGCAACCCGGTTGCTGGGATTTTTGAATCCCACCCCTGGTCAAAGGCCTGAGATCATTGGCACGAGTGACACCACTGCTTTTTTTTCCACTCTAGGACAGGACAATGGGTTAACCTCACTTTGCCTCTCTCCTATTAGACATCTGAAGGACAGTAGATTTGATGCCTTTTCTTCTCTGCCTTTGTGATCAAAAGAAGTAAATAAAAATGGGCTTTGTAATGGTTTGCAAAGAATCAGTACGTGGAAACAAAATAAAAATGAAAATGGCCCGAAGCCCTAGCATTTTCAGTAGCAAACAAGTTTTGGTTGAAAGGGATTTTGCATCTCTTTCAGCAGTACCTGGATAAGTGCTTGTTTGTACTTAAAATCTGGACGTTTAGTAGCACTATCCACAAACTCGTTTGAAATAAAAGGAAGGCAATATGTTCAGTGAAATGCGCTTTATTGACTCCAGAGATAGACACCTGTCTCAAAGATGTGTTGAACAGCTGTAACTCTTTCTTCTCACTAAGAGAGAGGAAGCCAGTAAGAAGAAGAAGGTTAAGGGGCTCTCAGTGATGGCTGCCCACATCTTCGTAGCCAGTGGGTAGAGCGTTGGTGTGGGGATTGTGAAAGAAAGTGTGATTTCCATCGCCCCATGGATAAGCCTAAAATAAATAAGATAAAAAGGGAATACAGAAAGAAAGCTCACTGAGGAGACACATCAGGATGGCTATGGAGGGGAGGTCAGAAAAGTTAAGATGGTAGCCTTGACGACATGATGGGAGTCCCACCCCTTTTTAATATATGCCATGCATCATGTGATGAATATTTTAAAAGGGGGTGGGGCTTCAATTGTGGGCCATGGCCGCCATCTTGAGGTTGTTGTTTTTTTATAATCCCTTATGAACATTGTTCCACACACCCACCAACTTTCACTTGCCTCTGGATCTTAATATAGATGATTATTTCCCCTTATGAACAACTGCTTAACTATCAATACCTCAGCTGAAAACCCACCACAACATAGCAAGCAATTAAATACTGCCAGTCCTTGAATTACATCCAGTGAGCATTCGAAGTTACCATAGCACTGAAAAAAGTGACTTACAGTATGATAGTTTTTTTCAAAATTACAACCGTTTAGCATCCCCTGGTCAACAAAATCAAAATTCAGGAACTTGGCATCATGTATTTATGACCTGGGGTCAGGTGACCATTTCCAACCTTCCCAGCTGACTTCCAACAAGCAAAGTCAATGGAGGAAGCCAGATTTGCTTAATGACCACGATTCGCTTAACAACTGTGGCAAAAAAGATGATAAAATGGGGCAAAACTCACTTAGCTACTGTTGTATTTAGCATTCTGGGCTCAATTGTGACCCTAAATCAAGAACTATCTGTGTATGAAAATTCAGCTCACCCAGAAAAATAAAAGAGCTACTCAATTAATACCATAAAAAAAATTGGGGTCCCTTGTGAGCAGAGCTTCAGACGATGAAGCTTTAGGGCCAAAAGGTGGTCACCATCCTAATTTTGGAGGACTGGAAGATTAAGGGAGAAGATCTACTACTGGCAGTACTATTAGCTTCAGAAGGAAGAAGTCCTTCACGAATCCAGTGTGAAAAGCCTTACCACTTTGATTCCCTCTCCTGCTACATTTTTACCTTTGTCCGAATCCTCAGGTGGGGATATGCAATGAACTCAGGACGTTCATGGGGGTGATCTCTCTTTATCAGCTGCACATTCAGCCAGCAGATGCCTACTGCAGGAAGTGCCACCACAAAGCTCAAAATCTTCCATAACCTAGCTGATATGCAAAAGGGAAAAACAAAATAACCAACAGTGCAGGACAGAGAATAATTAGATGAGTGCTAAGTTGTATATAAAAAAATAAGATCTGTGTTCTTTTGGTTAACAGAGGAGTCTTAGTGGACAACAAGTTAAATAGGAGCCAATAGTCTTTGGAGACAGCCAAAAAACCCAATGTAATCCTAAAGTGCATTAACAGAGGAATTCAATCAAGATCAAGTGAGGTACTAATACCCCTCAATAAAGCCTTAGTAAGACCACACCTAAAATACTGCATCCGGTTTATTTATTTTATTTTACTTTATTTGGTTTGTCAATTGCTTACAAGATAATAGGTATAAGTAAAAACATAGTTATGAATACGGCCTTCGTCGTCCCCTCTCTCAGCCCAAGTCCTCTTTGTCAAGAAGAAGACAGGAGACTTACATTTGTGCTGTGATTACCGTCGACTACACGCCCTCACGGTGCGGAATAGCTACCCCTTGCTGCTCATTCCGGAGTTGTTAGAGAGGTTGAGGGAGGCCACTATCTTCACCAAGCTCACTCTTTGACGGGCCTACAACCTGGTGTGGATGCGAGAGGGGGACAAATGGAAAACGGCATTTGGCAACCAATACGGCCATTTTGAGTACACGGTGATGCCGTTTGGGTTGACCAATGCCCCTGCAGTCATCCAGCACCTGATGAATGATGTGTTTTGGGATATGTTAGATTGGTTCGTAGTGGTGTACCTGGATGATATTCTGATCTATTCCGGGTCCAGGGACAGCCACTTTCAACATGTTTGTCTGGTCTTGCAATGCCTTCGAGCGCACCACCTTTATGCGAAGCTAGAGAAATGTCTCTTCTTCCAGACTTCATCCCAGGTTTTGCCAAGCTGACAGGTCCAATAACCCAGCTCCTTCAAAAGATGGTCCCGTTCCAGTGGGCCCCCCGACAGCAACAGGCTTTTGAGGCCCTCAAGAATGCCTTCATCACAGAACCTGTCCTGAAGCACCCTGATCCGCATCGTCCTTTTGTGGTGGAAACGAATGTATCCAACATGGCTATTGGGGCGGTGCTGTTGCAAGCCCCGGTGGATAGCGCCGCTCTTTTTCCCTGTGCTTATTATTCCCAAAAACTCACTCTTTCTGAATGCAACTACACCATCTGGGAAAAAGAGTTGCTGGCTATCAAGGCTGCGTTTGAGGCTTGGTGACATCATCTCGAGGGGGCCCAACACAAGGTGGAGGTCCGGACGGACCATCGGAATTTAGAACACTTGTCAACAGCGAGAAAGTTGAACCAGCGGCATATCCGGTGGTCGTTGTTTTTTGCCCGGTTCAATTTTTTTGTGACCTATATCCCCAGTGGTCACAATTGGAGGGCGGACTGCAAATCTGAGTACCTTTGCCCCGAGGACCCCCTTCCTCTGCGGACGGTGCTGCCAGCAGAATCCTTGGTCACAGTCCAGGAACCGGTGGACTTGCGGACTCAGGTGCAAGAGGCACAGTGCCTAGACATTTGGTTGCAGCAGAGGATGGGGGAGATTGGACCTGAATTCCTATGGACTTTGGAGGAGGGTTTACTCAAGCATCGGGGCTGGTTGTACATACCCACAGGGCCGCTTCGAGCCCTTATTATGACTCAGTGTCATGACAATCCTGCAGCCAGCCATTTTGGGTTTTTAAAGACCCTCCATCTTGTAACACCGACTTTTTGGTGGCCTTGAGTACGGCATGATGTCCACGCCTATGTCACGTCCTGTGTACCGTGCAGGCAAGCAAAAACCATGATGGGTGCACCTCCGCTGGCTGTAGGAGACCATGTGTGGTTATCCACAAAACATCTTCAGGTCGACCACCTGATAAAGAAGCTGGACCATTGGTTCATCGGCCCATTTCCCATCGAGGCGGTCATCAATCCCGTAGACTATTGACTGACTCTACCACACTCCATGTGAATTCATCCAGTCTTCCACCATTCCCTTTTGGTCCCTGATGCCCCTTCATGTTATCTCCGACATCCCATAGCTGTTGATCCACCACCTGTACCCAGTGAAGATGGCACAGTTGAAGGCAAGGTGGCCAGCATTAGGGATTCCCGCTGGCTGAAAGGGCAGTTCCAGTATTTGATCGAGACGCAGGGGGATGGGCCAGAGGCCCTCTCCTGGGTGGATGCTTCCATGATCCACACCCCGGACCTTATATGGATGTTCCATGACCATTTCCCCTTGCGACCACATCCTGACCGTCAGACTTGGGGGAAGGGCCCTTCAGTGGGGGATAGTGCTGTGGCCCTGATTCCTGAGCTTATGCTGTCAGAGAAAGAAGACCTGGAAGATGAGGAGGAGGAACTGGGAATGCCTTCCTCCCCAGGGCCTTTCTCTCTGGCAATGCCTTCCTCCCTGATAATGCCTCAGGTTTCATCAGACAACCGAGAGGAACAGCCTGAGATTAATCAGGAGGAAGGCATATCGGAGCAGCCCCTGACAGGGAGTAAAGAGGAAGAGTGTTGGCTTGATCCTAAGGAGCGTCGTAGGGAAAAAGGTGAGCAGCAACGTAGGAGGCGTGGGAGGGTCAGAGAGTGAGTTGAGTCATTAAGCCACACCCCACAGGGGATAAAAGTGGGCTGGAACTTTGTACGGGACAAAGTTTAATCTTACTGCAGATTTTTTTTGTGAATGATTTTTTGTGGACTGCCTTGTAATTTTCTGTGAGTAGATTTTTATTTGTTATCAGTTCAGACTTGGCAGGCAGAGCATGTTGAAATGCCAAGGATATTATCAGTTCCAAAGAATTAACTCTGTGAAGTCCGAGCCAGCTTGCCTGCCTGTGTTTGTGTGAGTTTGTATTCTTTCATCTTTTGGGAAAGAAGAAAAGTGAGACAGAACATGTATGTATGTATGTATGTACGTATGTATGTATGGTATTCAGCTTTGTTTGGGTATTTTCCCATGTCATTATAGTTGTGCTTTTAAAGTTGTAGCAACATTTCGGCAAAATCTCATCTGTCCTCATCAGGCTTCTGTATTGTGTTCGTCTGTGAGTCAGATTTTCACAGCCATTTCTGTTTTAAATTTGGGGCTAGCCTATTGCTGTGTCAGGATGGTTTTTTCTTCATCCTAATTGGTTGGGAGTCTTGGTCTGTGTTTATTGGTCTTGGAGTTTGCTGTGTTCTGCTTGATTGGTGTTTCTAATATCTTCTGTCTGTTTTGTGGCTTTTTTTTTGTCTTGATTGGCTAGCCATTATAGAAAACCCCAGCTACAGAATTATCAGAGAAGCCACAGAGATTGAAAAAAGACCTGAAAGCATAAATAGAAGGGATGATTCCAGCAGACTGTCAATAATTTGGAAGCCTGCACTCTCAAACAAAAAAGATCTCCACATCACAAACCAGCCAAACACCTGGGCACAAACAGATCCCCCCTGATACCTCCAGCTCAAACACACCCCAACCAGGCACCCAGATGAAATCTAGCTTCCTAATAAATGATCACTGTCCATTTACTCGGAGCCAAGCCACACTAAAAGCCTCCAATATAGGAAACACAATGTTCCCAACCAATCAGGATGAAGAAAAAACCATTCTGGCACAGTGTAGGCTAGCACCAAATTTAAAACAGAAACGGCTGTGAAAGTCTGACTCACAGACGAACACTATACAGAAGCCTGATGATGGCGGATGAGATTCTGCCGAAACGTTGCTACAACTTTAAAAGCACAACTATAATGACATGGGAAAATTCCCGAACAAAGCTGAATACCATATATATAAATACCAGCGAAAACTTAAGAAAACAAATATATAGATATGGATATGGATATAGATATAGATATACATACACACACACACACACACACACACACACACACACACACACACACATATATATATATAAAACAGATCACCACATTATAAAATAGCTGTTGAGATTCTAGAAAGAGTGCAGAGAATAGCAACCAGGATGATTAGGGGACTGGAGGCTAAAACATACAATGAACGTTTGCAGGAACTGGGCTTGGCTAGTCTAGTAAAGAGAAGGACCAGGGGAGACATGATAGCAGTCTTCCAATATTTGAGGGGCTGCCACAGAGAGGAAGGGGTCAAGCTATTTTCCAAAGCACTGAAGGTCAGACAAGGAATAATGGATGGAAGTTGATCAAGGAGAGATTCAACCTGGAAATTAGGAGAAATTTTCTGACAGTGAGAACAATCCACCATCTGAAGGCTTGCCTTCAGATGTTGTGGGAGTTCATCACTGGACGTTTTCAAGAAGAGACTGAACTGCCATCTGTCAGAAATGGTGTAAGGTCTCCTGCTGGGGCAGAGGGTTGGATTAAATGACTTACAAGGTCCCTTCCAATTCTATTATTCTGTTATTCTGTTCTGTTAGCAGCCTCCTAGTGTAACTTCAAGTCACTAACATTTTTGCTTCTGAGGAAACCAGCTAGGGATATTATCAAGGTCGTTTCTGCTGTCTTCCCTCCACCTTTTTTTTTTTTGTGGGACAATACATCAAAAGCCAAAATGCTTTCTCAGAAGACAAATGCTAGGCAAAGCAATCAATGCTGCATTCTAGTTAATCTTAAAAATGCTTAATCATTAGATAATTAAAATGTATTTCACTGGAAACACTCTCATCGGCATCTATCAGCGTAACCCTTTTATATTGCAGGATTACAGCTTGTTTATTCATAGTAAGATTAAGATTCATTTTCTACTTTTTTCTTTTATGTAGTCATCTATTTTCTTCTTTAAATCTTAAAATATATTTAAATGAAATAAAAGGCAATGACCTCTGTAAAACGTTGGCAGAAGAGGGGGGAACCAAGTTTGGGAAGCAGAGGACAATTTGTTATATAGGACATAATGGACCGATCCGAAGGAAAATAAAGGATTTTTCAGCATTAGTTTAAAAGTGCATATTGTTTCTCCTTAAATGAAAAGCACTAATGAAACAGGGATGTGTTTCCTTGAAAAAGGTACACCATTTTTCCATTACTATTATTTTGTACATCAAGAAACAACACAAGTAACCAACAAATCTCATTTTGATGTTTGTGGGAAATTCAACCTCCAACCAGGTATCAAGGAATCTTTAAATATCAGCCCTCCCTATTTTAGATTTCCCCCCTATTCTTCCTTCTTCCTTCTGCTGTTCCCAGGTATTGTTGGAGCTATTGTCAATGTAGGTAGTACTAACAGTAGTAGTCTGCTAAATAGTAATTACTGAGTTCACTTACCACTAGATCCTTCTTCATGGCCAGCTGCTGCTGTAGCAAAATTCCTTGTCTGACCCACCAGTTGAGCAGTTCTCCATCTGGGAATCATCCTGGAAACACAGAGCTCCAAGGACTTTTGTCTGGCAGTTGATGTCTCTAATGGAGACCTTGAATCCTTCCCTGTGGCTGGTCACTGTCTTTGCTGGGTCAAGGCCTTCCTGTCCAATTGCTCTTTCACTCACACTGCTCCCTCCTCCTTGGACCTGACAGTTGTGTTCATCTGATCCTCTTTGGCCAATGAAGTTATAAGAGAAACCCAACCCAGCTTGGAGCTTCTATCGCAAGACTGACACCCAACCCAGGACGAAGAGCCAACTTCTCACTTAGATTGGCATGAGACCTGGGAACTAACAATCCTCCCCTCCCTACAGTGGATTTCATGGTCTATTTATAAGCCAAGCAAAAACCAAATGCAGAAAGTCCAGGTTCCAAAGAGAGCGACAAGGGAGGTATTATTAGAGCAAGCGCTTAAAGTGTTCTAGTAGATGATGAGTGAATTTTCGGCCTGTTGCAAGCAAAGACTGATATGTGCTCATAGGAGTTTTATACAACCGGTCCTTGACAATGGCACCAAATAAAGTGATTTTACCATTTTTTACAGTTATAATCTTTGCAGCATCCCCACGGTCATGCGATCAAAATTCAGATGCTTGGCAACTGGTTCATATTTATGATGGTTGCAGCATCCTGGGGTCAATGGGGAAGCCTGATTCACTTAACAACCAGACTACTAACTTAACAACTTTAGTGATTCACTTAACCATTGTGGTAAGAAATGTTGTAAAAACGAGTCAAAACTCACTTCATAAAGGTCTCACATGATTACAGAAACGCTGAGCTCAATTGCAGTTGTAAGTGAAGGTCTATCTGTGTAGGTGGAAAATTGAAAAGCTCTCAGTCCACCTGGCTGATGAATTCTGGGAGCTGAAGTCAACATAACTTAAAGCTGCCAAGATTGAGAAACTCTGTTCCAGGTGGCTGATTTGGGTTGATAATTCTGGATATGAATGAATGTGGTATGAATGGTATAAGATCTTCTACCATGGGCAGGGGGTTAGACTAGAAGACCTCCAAAGTGCCTTCCAATCTAATGATTCTATGTTCTATGAGGCATTTAGGATAGAGTTGAGACTGCTTTGTTTGTGGCCCAAATCATCTCCAGGAGAATTTGCACCACACAGAATAACTAACTGGCTTTCTTTTTTTTCCCTAAGAAAAAATGCTTCTTTTGGTCTTTTCCTATTTTTCTTATTTACAAGCAGGAGAATATCCCCTTAATACAGTGTCTCCTCCATTCAACCCCAAATAGTTACATAGATGTTTAATGAAATCTTCCATGTTGTTACCATTTCAAAAGGTTGTCTGGGAAATTAGAAAGCTGTCCACCACAAATCCAAAAATGCTTGCCTCCAGCAATGCAAGCTGATTGCAAGAAATAAAGTTAACTCTCTGAATTGCCTCATCTGTGCAGCTTGCTAACTTAAGAGGCCACTGTTGTGTTCTGCTGACCCCTGGGGGAACAATGTGGTTTCACCCCATGGCATCAAATAGGGGTCTCCAAACTTGGCAACTTTAAGACTTCCAGAATTCTGGACGCTGAAATCCACAAATCTTAAAGTTGCCAAGTTTGGAGACTCCTAAAAAGCAACTGTGATAAGAAGCTGTTGATTGGAGAGGGAGGGAGGGGTTGACCCTGGTTGGTAGGATGAAGCACAAATTGGGAAGGGAGGCAGAGACCCCATTTCTTCCATCTTGAAACTTTTCAACTCATTTGTTTAGCAACTGTTTGAAATTATCACAGCACTGAAGAAAGTGACGAAACTGGTCCTCGCACTTAGATAGATACAGAATAACAGTGTTGGAAGGGATCTTGTAGGTCATCCAGTAGTCCAACACCCTCCGCCCAAGCAGGAGACCATACCCAATTTTTAACAAATGGCGTCGTCCAGAATGAAAGCTTAGAAAGTAGAATGACAATTGAAAGCAGGAGCAAGTTAAATATGGAAGTCTAAATTAGGAGAACATTCGACAGGGTAATTAAGTATTCTCTGAGGTAATCATGAAAAAATCCCCCGGACTGATCTAAGGCAGGAGCTGAAAGGTTCGTTTGCCTATCTTGCTAATCACAGCCCCCAAAACACCACAATAAACATGTGGAGATCTCCATGATGCAGCCTCTGTTTCATCCTCCTCCCACTCTAGGGGGGCAACCTAGGTTTCTCCTTTGCCCAGTTTTGACATACAGCAGAGGTTGACTTTTTTAACAGTTTATATAGTGACCGTTCAACATTGCAACGGAGCTGAAAAAGTGACTTGTTGGTCATACTTACGACCATTGAGCGTCTCCATAATCATGCGATCAAAACTCAGGTGCTTGGCCACTGACTCCTATTTATGATCGTTGCAGTATCCAGAGGTCACACAATCAACAGTTGCGACCATCTGACGAGCAAATTCAATGGTGATTTGGTTAACAACCCTGTTACTATCTTAACAACCAGTGGTGGGATTCAAAGTGGCTTAGTTAGTGGGTGTGGCTTGGTGGTTATGTGACTGGATGGGCATGGCCAACTCAACATCACTCACATCAAGGGACGCTTCTCCTCGCCTGACCTCTCATGACAGTGGGGATGCTGCAATGGTCGTAAGTGTGAAAAACAATCATAAATCACTTTTTTCAGTGCCATTGTAACTTTGAATGGTCACTAAATGAACTGTTGTAAAGTCAAGGATTACCTGTACAAAAATACAAAAAGCTTCTTTGCTTGCAAAAAGCTGCCCTAAATACCAATCATTAGATTAAAAATACATGCAAGCCAGGGTTACAAATCAGGCAGGGTGCCAGAGCACCTTGAGGAATTAAAATAGTTAAAATGCAGTGATAACTATCAGCAGTTAACCCTTGCTCATAAAGTGAAAGCCTTTAGCAGAGATGTCATTTAAGCTCTCCAGAAAGAGCACACCGAGTTTGCACCACTTAAAGATACCAGCTGGTCTCACTCAACTGTGTGGTTCCCATCTTCAAAAAAGGGGGAAAAAAACAGGCCCAGGAAACTATAGACTGCCTAACTGCCTGACCCAGGAAGATACTAGAAAAGATAATTAAAAAACAGATCTGTCAACATCTAGAAACAAGTAAAGTAATAACTAGCAGTCAGCACGGGTTTGTTAAAAACTGACCATGCCAAACCAATCTTATTTCATTCTTCAACACAGTGACTAAATTAGTAGACCAGCAAAATACTGTGGACATAATATACAATATTTAGATTTCAGCAAGGCATTCAACAAAGTAGACCACAACCTACTTCTTAGTAAGCTAGAAAAAGGTGGAATAGATAGCACCACCACTAGATGGACTCGCAACTCATACTCAATGAGTAGTCCTTAATGGGTCTAAGTCTGCATGGAGGGAAGAAGCAGTGGGGTGCCACAAGGTTCCTTCTTAGGCCCAGTACTCTTCAATATCTTCATTAACGACTTAGATAAGGGAATAGAAGGGGAACTTACTAAATTTGCAGGTGGTACTAAGCTGGCAGGAATAGCTAATACCCAAGATAGGCTCAAGATCCAGATGGATCTTGACAGACTAGAACACTGGGCCGTATCTAACAAAATGAAATTCAATGTAGAGAAAAATAAAGTCCTACACTTAGGCAAGAAAAACCAAAAGTGTACATATAGACTGGGTGAAACCATGCTCAATAGCAGTAACTGTGAGAGGGAGCTTGGAGTCTTAGTGGACAACCAGCTAAATATGAGCCAGCAGTGTGCAGCAGCAGCCAAAAAAGCTAATGCAATCCTAAATTGTATCAACAGAGGAATACAATCAAGATCAAGGGAAGTACTAATACCACTCTATAAAGCCTTAATAAGACCACCCACCTAGAGTACTGCATCCAGTTTTGTTCACCACATTATAAAAAAGATGTTGAGACTCTAGAAAAAGTACAGAGAATAGCAACCAGGATGATTAGGGGACTGGAGGCTAAAACATACAATGAACGTTTGCAGGAACTGGGCTTGGCTAGTCTAGTAAAGAGAAGGACCAGGGGAGACATGATAGCGGTCTTCCAATATTTGAGGGACTGCCACAGGAGGAAGGGGTCAAGCTATTTTCTAAAGCTCCTATAGGCCAGACAAGGAATAATGGATGGAAACTGAACAAGGAGAGATTTAACCTGGAAACAAGGAGAAACTTTCTGACAGTGAGAACAATCAACCAATGGAACAGCTTGCCCTCGGAAGTTGTGGGAGCGCCATCACTTGAGACTTTCAAGAAGAGATTGGACTGCCATTTGTCAGAAATGGTGTAGGGTCTCCCGCTTGGGCGGGGAGTTGGACGAGATGACCTACAAGGTGCCTTCCAACTCTGATTATCTGTTATCTGTTATCTCACAAGATATCCGAAGGAAATCATCCAGATTTAAGGAAGGATCTCATGCCCCCCAGAAAGGCAGTAAAAAATCAGTGCCAGATACCACTAAAGCAGTGAAGAAAGATCTCCCTCCCCAGATAGAAAAAGAAACCATGAGGCAGGAAAAAATTCAATCACAATACAAATAATTAAACCACAACAGTAGCTGTTGCTTGTTAAACCAATTACCAGAACAAATAGACAATGGAACTAGCAGATTTCTCAAACCAGTTTCTTTTCAGGAACAGAGATTAGTCTTTTTCCTTCCAAACAAAGCTGAATAGGGAAAACTATCCCATCAATAAACACAGGATTATACGTCACCAAGCACAGAATTAAACTTCAGCAAAAACCAGTTTTAGAACAAAACTCAGAAAGGGTATGTAAACTCACGTTTGAATGTCAATCTTTCTAGCTAGTCAAGGAGAAGTATTTCCAGGGGACTATTTCCTTCCAACAGCAGTGTAAAAAGCTTAATATAACCTTTACCCTTTAAGGAAAAAAAAACAAAAAACCTCCTTCTGAGACAGTAAGTCTAGGCTGTCTGCCAAGAATGTAATAAGGATGGAAAAAAACAAAAGGAGATTTCTTCTAACTACCTGTTCTCCAAACTGCTTAGAAAGTTAACAAGGGGTTCTATAGAACCGGTCAGAACCAGTAGAATCCCAGCCCTGTTAACAACAGAAATGGTTTACTTAACAGCTATAGTAAGGGAAGTCATAAACGGGGCAAATCTCTCTTAATAACTTAGCAACTGAAATCAGTTGTAGCCATAGTTGTAGTCATAAGTTGAGGACTATCTGCATTCCATGACTATTTGAAAAGACTGCTTGATTAAAATTGTGAAAGAGATGTTTTGCCTCAAATGAATTTATTAAAGGTTTTCATTGTTTTCAGCAAGAGGTTCTTGATGGCTACGCTTTCTGTTTTTAGTATTTTGAGAGGGAGACAGGACTTCTTTCCCTACTTTTACAACTTTTGTGTACTCCGCTGGCTACTTTCAGGCATTACCAACTATATCCCTAGCTCTGAGTACTGCTATTGCTTGTATCAACTACTACTTAATTCTTTCATCTGTTTATCTGTTTGTCACCTTCAATTAATAGAAACAATGCATCACAGGGCAATGTTTTTTTGAATCAAGTTACCTAACTAATTTGCTAACTTAAAGAATGTGTATCAAGCCGGCACCTGTTGCTTCTATGTACATCAATGGACCTACTGATGGACTTTTGAGAACCTAATCGATGGATCCATTGATGGACTTTTGAGAAGCTAAGAAGTAAAGCTAAGAAACAGAGATGCCAGAACTTCTGAAAAGACTCGGCAAGTTTATTAGGAAACAGTGTCATTGCTAGGAGGAGAGGAGTCTACATTTTGTGAGGATGTGTCAACAGTGTCATTACCAGCTCCAGCCTCCTCCAGCATCTGCTTGTATTGACGCTTGAAGAACCCAACCTAGAGAAAAAGATAGAAAGAAGTGAAAGTAAGAGGAACAGAAAACAAACACGAGATTTCTCCTCCAGCAAAATGAGCATACCAGCCCTTAGCACAGGTTTTCCCAACTTTGACAACTATAGAATATGTGGACTTCAGCTCCCAGAATTCTCCAGCCAGCCATGCTGGAATTCTGTTGAAGTCCACGTATATTAAAGTTGCCAAGGTTGGAAAACCCTGTCTTGGTGCTTAAGAGAGCTGCCAAGACTCAGAGGGCTGTGAAAACTACACCTTGACATTTGGCCAAGGCCTTGATTCCTATCTCCAAGAAGGGTTGATAAACAGCTATATAATCCTTTGATGATAAATCTTTTGAACATGCAGACATAACTGCCTTTGTGCAGTTCAAAACATAATTGGGAAGGGTAGCAAGAACTCCATTCTCTACCCTTTCCCTCCCCAGGTTCCACTTCACCTTATATAAAGCTGCCGTTGACAGAGCTAGCAGGATTAAGCCTCCAAAAGAGCTGCCTATGATAATGGGGAAGCTGTTGTAGATCTCGATCCGCTCCACCACTGTCTGCACCTGGGAATGGCAGGAAACACAAAGTCTTAGAAGTTGGACCCAATCTGGCAGCCCAGGCATCCAGGTGTCCAGGACCAGTTCTAGCCTTTAGACATCCCTTTCCTCCAAGGATTGGGAAAGAAAGTCCTGAGGCTCAGTTTCCTGTCTACACCCCACCTCTCTCCCTTTTTCTTCACCTGAGTTTGTGGAAAGCCCACTTGCTGTGTGTATTTTCTGTTGTTATAAGAAATCTGTGCGGAGCTCACCAAAATAATTGTCTTCTGTTGGACCTGGAAGAGAGATTCATTATTTTTGAAAGATGATGTGCTACTTGAGGAGGAGGAAGAAGAAGGAGAGGAGAAGCAAGAAGCAAGAAGCAAGAAGCCAGAAGAAGCCAGAAGAAGCCAGAAGCCAGAAGCCAGAAGAAGAAGAAGAAAAGAAGAAGCCAGAAGCCAGAAGCCAGAAGCCAGAAGAAGAAGAAGAAGAAGAAGAAGAAGAAGAAGAAGAAGAAGAAGCTACAAAGCAAGCTGAAGCTGGAAATCCTCTTCCGCACAAGAAATTTGAAGGTCCCAACCCTGTTGATTTTTCTGCAAAGCTTTAAAAACTTGGCTATTTACCTCAGTCTGGGACTCAGAATGTGTTAAGGGCCCTGTTACTTGGCTTTACTATTATTGGATTAATCATCGTGGCTGCTGTTATTTTATGGATACTGTTATGTCCCTGGAACTCTAAGGAGTTCCCACTCAGGTCCGT